ATACCGCGAAGGTTTTCACCCTGAATAAGAGTTTGCCTGTAAACTTTATCTTTAAAATCTTGCAACGGATCCGCTTGTTACTGTGTATATCTTTTGTATACCAGGGTTTCTTTTCTAAACATCCGCGAAAAAATAGCCACAAAGCCTGACTCCGCGAAAATGCAGAAACGAAGCAGTAATGTCATACGGTGATAAGTTTCTAATGAGACTGTAGCCTGTTCCAGGCTCTCGGATAGTGGGGACGAAGCGAAAAAGCGAATGGCCACGCGAAGGTAGTCTCTCCCAGACTACCTTCGCGCGGCCATTCGCTTTTTCGCTTCGTCCCCACTATCCGAGAGCCTGGAACAGGCTAATGAGACTGTTGTGCTGCGTCGGCGGGCAAGTAAAACACCAAGTTGATTATCAACTCGAAGTTGATAAAGGTATAAATTAACCAACGTAGCAAATTTGGAGAAGCTGACGTTTCGAGCGTTAGCCCTTCGTCGGAGCAAAGTGGAGGATTGTGGGTTGTGTGTTTATATAATGGAGTATGGAGTTACGTGATTGGAGGAAGCATGGTAACGGAGAATGCATGAAATTAAACGAGAAGCGTTCGTTGATCCCATGAGGAGCCAAGGTACCGATTTGAAAGATAATTTATTCTCAGTGACTGACATGACAGCCGTGTTTTTTTTAAACAGCAACAAAACCACTGGAATTTAAAGTCCAAGTATAAGCTTTCTAAGCTTCTTGTTCTCAATAGGTGATGTAGATTTCTTGGTATCTTGCTGCATCAATCAGTTTTCTCTTCTTATTCTCGTATGGTAGTTTTCCATCCTCGATTGGTGATTGCTAATTCTCGTATAATGGTTTCCAATTCTCTTAGTGATTTCCTAATCTCAAACATCGATTACTGAAACTCGATGGGTGATTTTGAACTCAACCCACTTTTGTCATGTTTGGTTTGCTATAAAAGTGTGTACGACCGGCTCCTGGGCCCGGTTGCATAAAGCAACTTAAGAGTGAGAATTTCTGCAATCATTCCTTGTGTTCCGAAGGATTTTCTTGGACGCTATTATGGATAAATCAGCTGAAGGTTGATTGAAGACGAAAAAAAATCATCCGTTACACAGGGAACAGTTGTAGAAATTCCTATTTAGTTGCTTTATGCAACCGGGCCCTGGTGCCTATATAAGCGTTAAGCCGCAGTTATGTGCTGTATTGCAGTTTGTGTTGTCAACCCGTTTGCCCTCGATGAAGGATCGCCAGGCTGTTGTACCTCGGCGGTTGTGCCATACATAAACGTACCGAGTTGTGTAGCTCGGAGTCGATCGGAGGCCATTGTGCCATACAAACTTACCGAGTTGTGTAGCTCGGTTTTATGTTGGACAGTTGTATAGTCAAGACCAAATCAGACCACTTCGACCGAGCAAAATTAGTGCAAACAGATATATATTAACTGGCAGATTCAATGCCATGGGTCGTACACACACTCCTGTTCAGGTGGCCTCGCCCTCGAAACAGAGGACCGGCAGCAGTGGAGGACCCTTCTGGAAGCACCATGTGCCACATTGGGCACTTTGGGTCCCGAGTATGAGTGAATAAAGTAGGAAAATGTTAAAAATGTTCACTTTCCTCGACGTTTCTGTGGAAAACTTATCCAAGATAACAGAGAATGCAAAAAAAATAAATCAGAAGTCTGTACTTGTTTGCACGCCTCAAAAGAAATACATGTTGTTTCCATGTTGCAAACGAAGTTTTTGACAGTTTGGCTGCGATTTGTCGAGATCAGGACCAGAAAAAGGCATCTCTGCTGTGAAGATGCCCTTTTTTTTGGAACAAACTCAGGAGTCAATGGGTGACTGATTTTATTTTCGTTGGCCTGTCCTAAGTTTACACCCTGAGGTATAAACTGATGAGCCAAACTCAAAAAATGAAAATCCCCCTCCCCCAAGTATCATTAATGCACCATTGCAGTGTTTGAACGTTTCTCGGAAATATCTTTTATCATGGTTCGCAGTATTTGGTCCCAATCTTCTCCTTTCTTCATTTCTGTGTACCGAGTAGGACTGGTGAGCAGCTGAGCCAGCTGAGGGGGCAGCGGCATTTCTATTCCAGCAGCCTTGACAGCCTCACAGAATTTGGCAGGACTTGCGGTAGCCACACATACAGTGGGTGTCTTGAGGACAGTGCTATTATGCCTGTGAATGGAACGAAGAATTCATAAAATAAAGTTGCAAGGAAAACAGCTTGCATCGCCCTGCATGCAGTAACTTGCTCCCATCTTCCTGCAATACCAAGGTAATAAACCCAACAAAATCAACAAGCCCCTGAAAGTAACGATCCTCGAAAATAAAATCCGAGTTCTCCCAACAGGTTTGCGAATAACAACAACTCCCTTATCTCCTTATTTTATTTGCTGTTAGTATGTTCATTTGGGCAATTCAAAAGCGATATTTCACCTCTTTGTCGTTTCACAGTTTTCTCCTCTATATCTGGTACCCCTCCAGCCATGCCAGACAGTCAGGCCAGACAGCCACCGATAAAAAGAGGTTATTCAGTGGAACGTTTTCCTAAAATTTAGGCTTAATTAACAGTGTTTTCTGAAGCGCGCACTCAGGGAGACTAAGAAGAGTGCAATACGGTTTCATAGTTGCACTCGTTTTGGTGCATATTCAACTATTCGCACTCTAAAATGCTATCAAGTCTAAATCCATGTTTACCTTTGGTCCCACACCACTGTGACACCAACAGCTGTATGTGGACAGAGAAGGTACTGGTGCTCAGTCCAACATTCCTTCATGGTTTGCAATGTTTGGTCACATGACACAGATGTAGAGGAAATGACGTCACACATCTGCAAGGCATGGCAACAACCCTTACTTATTACACTGTCCAAGTAACTCAAAAGTATACTTACTGTTATGTACAAAATGATTACTTTCTAATGAAACTGTTGTGCAGCTGCGTCAGCGGGCAAGTAAAACACTTAATAGTTGATTATCAACTTGAAGTTGATAAAGGTAAATTAACCGCTGTAGCGAATTTGGCTGGTACAGATAATAATGGGGGTTGTCGCGCCTGGCCAGTTTTGGCTGCTACAGGCGTCAAGGGAATACTTTATAATAAATGAATAAAAACCGAATGTTTTCGACGTCATCATTAGGGTGATAATAATTTACTTATGCATCATTAGGGTGATAATAATTTTTTTTTTTAAAGAACAAATATGTGTTGTAAGATGCCGGTTGTTCGAAAGCCGATTAACGCTAATCCAGGATTAAATCAAGCTTTTAATTCGCTTGTATAAAAGTGTTTTTCTGTGCTAATGTTTTGTAAAGTTCGAGATTAGTCAAAGTCAAAAAAGAAAGACAAAAAAAAGACAAAAAATATAAACAGAAAACCTCACTGGAAGTTACAAAACTGAAAATCAATATTCACGCTAATCGTGGATTAGCTTAATCGTCCTTTGAACAACCGGCCCTGGAGTAAACATTTTGGACTAAATTACAAATACACATGTGAGAGGCGTGGTGCCTAATGATTAGCGTGTTGGACTCCGAGTCTGAGCGCTGACTGGGGTCAGTCTGTTGTGTTCTAGGGCAGGACACTTTACTCTCACAGTGCCTCTCTCCACCCAGGAGTATAAATGGGTACATGCGACAAAATACTGGGGTAACCTGCAATGGACGTGCATCCCATTCAGGGGAGTAGCAATACTCTCTAGTCACTACAGAAACCAGGATAAGATCCGGAAGTTGTGGGCCACTTAAGGCTCGTGAACACTTTACCTTTACAATAATTTATACATATTTACCTTTTCTCTCAAGTCTTCAGGTATCATCAGTGAGTTTTTCTCTTCAAATTCTTTCATCAGCGAATCAACAAGTTCATAATTCATGTCAGAGAAGAGTAACAACAGACGCTCCAAATTATACGGAACCTGCAAAGGTTGAAAATAAGTGACAATACCATCATTATTAAACTACTGTAAAATTCTGATTAAATAAGCTCTGGACATTACCCGAAAGGCTCTTTTGGTGGGTTTTATTTTTCGGGGGGGGGGGGGGGGGGGGGGTAATTACTGGGGGAAGGAATTTAAATTTCTGTTTCAAAAATGTCTGGGCTTCTATTTCTACCTGATAGCGAGCTAAGGATGTCAAATGAGATGGTAGATCCACAGAAAGTTCTGTTTCTCTTGTGGATGAGGCCCTGACTCGTCCCCAGTAATCTCTCTTGTCTCCTATAAAAATTAATATTAAGCGCGGCCGGTCAAGGGGTGATGGGAAGGAGGAAAGGCGGGAGACCTCGCTTTCTTCCTTCCCAGCATCCCCCACATCTTGCGACTCCCAACAAAGGAGACAAGAGAGACGACTGGGGACAAGTCAGGATGAGGCCAGAGACGAAGAATGTACCTTCTTTTAAACTGTACCATGGGGGATTTTTAAATCAGTTGAGCTGTTAAAAAAACAGCTCAACTGTCCCCACCAAGGGGCATTTGCAAATTCTTTTAAAAAAAATGCTAATGCCTGGGGACTGGGGGCAGGAGGGGGGTGGTCACTGCTGGAATTGACTTCTCAGAGCCATCTACTTTTCAAGAATAATGCAGTCACATTTAGTGTGTGGCACTCTTTCCACCTCAGTTCCCCCATTACTATTTTATTACATGCAAGAATTAAGAACTGAAATTGCAGGTTATTTACTTCTATGTCCATAGCACTTGACAAGGTATGCACAAACATCGCCAGATACAGCATAGACACCTGTAGTTATCGCTCTGTGAACAATGTCGTTGACATTCACAGCACATACCAGCTCCACAGGACACCCATTTTACACACCCAGTGAGCCAGCTGCAGACAAGAATGACAAGAATGACACTTTACACTACAAATAATTCAGCATCATTTCTCTCCACACATATCTCGCATATCGACAAAACTAATCACATAATTATCAACAAAACTAATCCTAGCAGTATATTTGTGCGGGGGGTCATATTTGGCCTAAGCTCTCATGAGTCTCCTGTAGCTCAGTTGAAGCTAGAGCATTTGACTGGTGTGTGGAAAGTCATAGGTTCAACTCCTGTTGGGAGAACTCAGAATTCTTTTTTTGAGTAGCTTGTGATTGACTGAGTGAATAACATCTTTCTTATTTATATTTCTGTGTGGGAAACGCAGTGGCCTATAAGGTTAGTACCCTGGACTCCGGACTGAGCGTCCCGGTTCGAGCCCTGGCCTGGGTCATTGTGTTGTGTTCTTGGGCGACACTTTACTCTCACAGTGCCTCTCCACCCAGGAGTATAAATGGGTACCAGTGACAAAATGCTGGGGGTTACTTGTGATGGACTAGCATCCCATCCAGGGGAGTAGCAAATTATTGATCCTAGTTGCTTCATCCAGACAGCAGTTGTGGACCACTAGGCTTGTGAAGACTTCACCTTATTATGATTCTACAGGTTCTACCAAACTTAAAATTTGCCATCATTTCTTTCCACAAAGTAATTTTAGTTATATTCACCTGTACAATGTCCAAGCGCTCCTGATGGTATTACAAACTTCACAGTGTCTCCAACTTCACTACACACTCTAAGATATGCATAGAAAAGATGCACTGTTTGCGCCATTATACGACACCAGTTGGTTGAGTTAATCATACAAAGACTATTTGTTTCTGCATACGCTGGATCAGAAAAACAATTTTTGACTGGAACATCCAATCCATCTGAAGTCCCATGCAACCCTGACAACATGTACATTCTTGTCCATGATTGTCGTCATTTGTAGCTCTTGTATCTGAGTACAGAGCCCTTTAGGGTATAACACTACAATGTCAATCCACTGTGATCTCCTCACACATTCAATGGCTGCACTGCCTGTGTCACCAGAGGTCCCCACAAGGGTAATCACATGCTTCTTTTTCTTGTTTAGAAAATAATCCATGAATATGCCAACACTTGCCAGAGCATAATCCTTGAATGCCAGTGTCTTGCCATGAAACAATTCCAGTAGATGAAAATTGTTCACTGTTGCCAGGGAAACAATATCCTTATGCCAAATTCAGAAAATGCTTTGTTTATAAGATCTGTCCAAAAGCAAATGAACCACAATTAAGTTTAAGTGGCTCCCTATAGTTTTATGACAGCGCGCGCGCGCTGTTGACGAAAGCTGCAGTAACGCAATACACCGCGTATAAAACTCGCAAAGGTCAGTAGACTGCGAGCAGTCCCTCTTTCTTTCCGATAGCGAGCGAGAAGCGCAAGAGAGCGGAAATCGAGCGTTGAAGGGCGCGAGCGAGCGGGAGTGAGAAGTGAGTCACGAACGGGCGCAAAACTCATGAGTCGCGTGTGTTAACAAGAATCCTTTCTTCGCACCCGGGCCGGTTTATTTTTGGCCGTACGTAACCTAAAGGGTAGAGTAAGTTATTAAAAAAAGTTAATTTTCAATTGCTTACGGCTTGGTGGGCGGAGTTATCTAGGACGCGTCGGAAAGAGGAAGGCCGGCAGTCACTCTTCTTTCGCTCGTTCGTGCCTAACTTCCGCTCGCGAAGCGCTTAGCGCTCGATTTCCGCTTTCTCGAGCTTCGCGCTCGCTATCGGAAAGAAAGAGGGACTGCTCGCTGTCTAAAAGGTCAGGGGAAGGCTTGTTTAATTTTAGGCCTCAAGAAGGGGGGGCTTATTAGAGAGGGGGGCTTAATAGGGAGGGGGGGGGGCTTATTTTAAATTATAAACTTTTGAGAAAAATTAATAACTTCTCTAAAACAGAACAAGAAATGGGTTATGTATGACCGTATTACAAATGCAACGTTATTTATAACCCTTAACTCAACGATAGTTCTGGAAATTAAAGACGTTTTCTATACAAAGTGACTGAAACGCCAGAAAATATTGCTGAAAAGTCATTTACATCAGCCTGACAGAATCGGAGAAGAGGGGGGGGAGGCTTAATAGAGAGGGAGGCTTATTACAAAATCTGACTTCCGAAGGGGGGGGGGGGGGGGCTTATTAGAGTTATTAGAGAGGGGGGCTTAATATAGAGAGGGGAGCTAAATAGAGCTTTTACGGTAGATCGAAACTCGCTAAAGTCAAATTTAGCTCCTCTGCTCCCTGTGCACGACTTTCCCGGAATGATCTGATTGGCTCTTAATTACTTTGATAAGATTACATCATCCTACCGAAATATGTGTTCTTTGCGGAGATTGCATGCATCGTTAAAAATTCTGACAAAAATCTAATTGACAGATCTAGATGAATGGGCACGGCATTCAACGTCAAAGACAATCTCGTTCCTAGAGTCCTCGTTACCCTTGTCCAGCGGTGGAAGCGGCCAACAATGACCTCTGTAATAAAGCGATCTGCCATGACCGGATACTAGGACTCTAGGACCCCATGTTTCAACTAACGGACACCAAGATTCTTGGACTTCTGGTCTTACTGCGCAAGTCAGGCGGATCACTCTATCCCAGAGGTCCTTGTTGGCCGCTCCACCGCTTGACAAGGGTATCAAGGACTCTGGGAACGAGATTGCGTCAAAGAGGGAAATATCATCGTTGGACTGCGCGGCACAGTAGTCGGGAGTGGGCGGTTTATGCGTCAGTATGAAACGCGCCCGATCTTCGCAACGACCTCCTGACCTCGCGAGTATCACGGCCCCGACGGCATTACAGTTATTTCCAGTTGACCTGTTCAAGTTGCACAGGGACAGAACTCGGACAAGATCTTGTGCATGGAGAGACTTTTTTAGCATGCACAATAATAATGAACGAACAAAAGTAAAAGCGACTTCATGTTTACAAAGGAATTTACATTGCCGTAACCCAATCAGATCAAGAAAATTCACAAGTGGATAGGGCCGTGGGAATTTCAGTGAGAATTTACCAACAAGAAGAAATCACAGAATTTTGAACTGGCAAGGGAGTATGCCGAGTATTTTTGCTTTACAGAAAGCGTTTCTGAAGGTAAATCAGGAAATTTTATTTTTCCTATTGTTATGCTTCAACTAAACTCCGGAAATGGCAGTGCATTATCTTTCAACAACGTTCATTAAAATAATCTCACACACCAAAATTTCCTTTGTTCTCTCCGTGTGTCACGCCAGAAACACAGAACACAAATTAAAGATGCTGAGACACAGACAACTCTTGGAGGAGGAGGCGTACGTACACAGGCTACCATTAGCTGAGGTTCAGCTGTACAATATTTTTGCCAACATAGGCATGCAATACGTGCAAAGGGCTACAGCCACATAGCCCTATGCACGCATTGCATGCCTACAATACTAGATTATGTGCCATTCAGCTACATGTACATCCTCGGAGACCCAGGGGCAGATAGTGGGGGCGAGCGAAAAAAATCGGCAAAGAAAAGTAGAAGCGAACGAAAATAGCCCCTGGGGACGATTTCTTTACCGCACTAGTTCCAACGGCTAATTAAATGCCGCCGCTTCCTGATTGGGCAGAAAAACCTTTGTATTATTCTGCCCAATCGGCGAGCAGATAGGTCTGCGGTCCGTTTCGTGTGTTCTAACATGAAGCCAACAAGAAGGCTGTAGTTCGATCGCCATATTTGTCTTGTTTGTTCGTCAAGATTTTGCTCGGGAAGGAAAGTTTCAGTTACAGCTTGTCTCAAAGGCCGAAAAAGTAGAAAAATCGATTGTCATGTCCGCAAGGAAAACCGTCGGAAAATCCACACTTTGGATCGATCGCAGGTATCGTAATACTAGCTTGCTTTAAAAAATATGCGAGTGCTAGTTTTAATATATGCGACCGCCGATCTGATGTTTACACTCTCGTTCTTTCATGGAAACGTAACGTAACGTAACTTTCCCTAGCCTGAGTAATTATTTTTCTTCTTCAAAGATGAGAAAATAGAAGAATTTGTTATCTTTAGTATTAAACATTAAAACATGGAAAGGCATACTTCGTTTCAGTGTTATTTTCTTTTGATGATGTGATAGTATTTTTTATTTAAGAAAATATATTTTTAGTGGGAATGGGGGTAGAAAGAGAGAGAGAAAGAGGGGTGGAGGGGAGAATGTTAGAAGAACAATACAGATATAATAGTAGTTGATACAAACAATAAGCGAACAATAATTGTTTGTATATCAACTACTATTATATATCTGTCAATTATTGACCCCATATACCTCTGTTAATTATTTTATGGTTTTCCATGATCATCCCATATAATATTTTAATTCTACATTTTACATGTATAAAATATATAAAACTAACTGTCTGATATAATTTCTTGAGTACCCCCTTTTGAATGGCTGTTTCTTGTATGACCTTTACCAAGTGACTGTCTCCTATACGATTGCCTAATATATGTAGTTTTAGTCAAGATATGATTGCCAGCTTTTGTTCTTCCAAGCCAAGACATTAAAACATGGTAGAGACAATACCATTAAAAAAAATTATGTTATGTTATTTAATGATGGGAAGACATTTTTATTGATGTTTAGATAATTTAATTTTGTAAAATATTTTTTTAATGGAGGGGGATGGAGAGAGGAAGGAAGGGGTAATCTAGAAAAGGGAGGGATGAGGAGAGTTGAGCGCGAGCACGAAGCGTGAGGAGAGAGCGGGAAGTGCACTCAAACTACTCACCTCATCCTCCCCTAGAAAGAATCAAGTGACAACTGATGATCTCATACATGTACAATGCCCCATAAACTTAACATATGGTAATACATGCAGGATATCATTAGTACTCAATAATATGTTACAAGAAACATCTGACTGTATATTAAAGAGTAGAATGTAATCTGAGAAAATGAAAAAATATACAGCTGTCTCATGATTATTCTATTTACTTACTTACTTAAGCCTGTTTACTCTGCGGTGGAGCATAGGCCTGCCGACAATCACGATTGTTTAATGTCCCTTCAGATTGATTGCCTCGTGTAACTGTCTCCTGGTGATTCTGGACAGCCTTTCGTGAATGATTGTCTCTTGTGTGATTGTCACATGTTTAGCGCCAATATGACTGACAGCTTTTTTCTACTTTTATGATTAGATAGTTTCACTGGAAAAGACCAACACTAAAGTATTGTTATCAGCTCTAGCATTGATACATGGGATTTTTTATTTTTGTTTAGG